GTTGAAAACCTGGTATGATAAAAATTATTGAAAGTTACATACATCAAAACTACATTTTCAATATTGTAAGGCATATGAGATATTTGATGACATATTTATTGACATATTTGATGAAATATTTGATGATATATTTGATGACATATTTGATGATATATTTGATGAGATATTTGATGATATATTTGATGACATGTTTGATGACATATTTGATGACATATTTGATGATATATTTGATGAGATATTTGATGATATATTTGATGACAAATGTGATGACATATTTGATCTGATATTTGATGCCAAGATTCAAAATGTAAGACTGTAAGACAAAAGTAAAAAAAAGACGACTTTAAAAAGCACTCTATCTGGTATTTTATTGTTTGCTGCTTGTTACAAAACAATGAGATAAAAAAGTGTGTCCATTAAAACAAATTAACTTTCTTTTACTAATTTAAACGAGATAATCGGAGAAGAAAAAAGTTTCGAATTTTATCAAATTTAAGGTGAGAAACAATGTTTCCTGAACACTGTAATCAGAAAATATACAAGCATAACGTACAAGTAACAGTATATTAAACAAAAAGAAATACGAAATACGAAATTTTTCATTTTTATTCAAGTAATTAGTTGATAAATCAATGGAGAAGATTATGAAATATTTTTTTACAAAATGTTGAAATATAGCACATTCATATAAACATCATATATATATTTAATACTAATGTCAAATATAATTAATTAATTATTTTATTAAAAAATTAATAATTTAAAAAAAATCAATTTATAATACTTAAGTATAAGTAGGATAAAAATTTTATTTGTCCATTTAAGAGAAATAATTTTACAGCTCTTAATATGTAAATTTAATTTTTTTTTTAGGAATTTAAGTGCTCATGTCGAGGAAAAGGATTCATGTTTGTGTACACCCGTGCATCCCACATGTTTTATTTATTTGCTGAAGATGTGCAATGCAATCAAAAAAGCATTTCTATATCTTTCGATCACTACGAGAATCTTATCTATTCTTATCTTATTCCTTAGCTGCTTGCTTACAGTGATGCCAACCGCACCACATCGTAATCACTAACTGGTATTGTGTTGTTTACCGATTGTATTTGCTATTTGGTTTGATAGAAGACGCCGAAAGGGATGAATAATTTGAACTTAATCAACAAATAACGTGGTACTTGGATTACAATGGCTTTTTTGGCTAAACTATGTTTACGTTTTGAAACTAATTTCAACCCATGAATTGTTATATTAACTGCCAATCATAAGGCAAATTGTTTTCAGAATTGGATATAAATCCCTCATCTGGAGAAAAATTCATAAAGTGGGTCAAACTGCAGGGGTCGTTCGCAAATTACGTCACGCGAAAGAATGACCTTTTCAGATCCCCATCCCCCCACCGTCACAAAGTAGCACAAATGCCTTACCCACCCCCACCTCCTTTTAATGCCACGTCACACCTAAAACAAATCAAACCATACAAACAGTTTTCAAAACTAAACTATGAATTGATTTTATTGTTTAACATTTCCCCATAGTGGATTAAGATGTCGTATTCTTAGAAAACTGTGACGTGAAACGCAAAACAACGAAGTCCTCCCCGAGCCGAATGTAAAATGGCCACAACAGGTTTTGGGTCATTTTTTTTCCAAATGCGCATAAGGTGTGCGCGACTTATAATAAATAAGGCAATTTCGACGTTAAAATAATGTTTTCAAAACTAATTGAATAAAAAAATTTAAAAATTAGAAAATTTTAAAATTTTTTTATTCAATTAGTTTTGAAAACATTATTTTAACGTCGAAATTGCCTTATTTATTATAAGTCGCGCACACCTTATGCGCATATTAAAATAATGATTTCAAAACAAAATAAAAAAAAAAATTTAAAAAATAAAAAATTTTAGATTTTAAAAAAAAAAAAAAAAATATGACGTCACAAATTTTTGCCCCCCCCCCTCCTCCCGTCACAAAGTGTCACAACTTCTCGTCTCCCCTCTTCCACCGCCCCCCCCCCACTTTAGCGTGACGTAAATTGCGAACGACCCCAAAGCACAGGATGAAAATTAAAATTTAAATGAAAAAAAAATTATTTTTTTTAAAATGAGTGTCATAAACTGTAGAGCCTGGAATTTCTGGAATTTCTGGAATTTCTGGAATTCAGTCACAGGATAAGATTTTATTACAGATGCTAAAAGAAAAAACTTAAATTGTAATTGAAGAATAGAATGAACACAGTGAGCATGTTTCAGATACTGTACAGTTTGTAACCGGACATCAAGAGAAGTTTCTACACGCTGAACTTCCGTTGGCCTCTAATAATAATAATAATAATAAAGTTTATTTCAAAAACACGCTTCATCCCCAAAGGCTCGAAGCGCGGTACAAAGTCAACAAAAAACAAATCTATAATTTACCACATTTAAAACAAACGCAACACTACAAAAACTAATTACAAGCATACAATGTCAAAGTCTTTCTAGCCATTTCAACCATAAGCAACACAGCCATTATGCATTAACTGGAAAATAAGGTAGACAATCATCCCAGAAGGTGTTTGCGAAATAGATGTGTCTTTAAATCGGTTTTAAAGGACTCCAGTGTCTGGTTGTTTCTGAGATCGACGAGAAGGGCGTTCCAAATTGTTGGACCAGCAAATGCGAAAGTGCGCTTTCCGCAAGTCTCAAGGCGAGCACGTGAACATTCTATATCGAAGCCTTCCTCATCTTCAACCCACCTGCCTCAGAATGTACTTGCAACCTAGATCATGCAGGTTGAATCATCAAGAATCAATTGCGGGATAAGGCATCACAATAAGGGTCAAATCATAATAAGAATGCAGATCTTTTTTTTTTTTTACCAAATCCAGTAGGCAGGATTGGGATAGGAGCTGGTCACTTGTCAATTACTTTATCCGCTAACTGATGAAAGGGAATAAACAAGACCGAGGTGGATAATCTACTCTAAAAAGAAAAAAAGAAAGGACATTTTTTTCTCTAGACCTTGTTGCCTCTTCAATTCTGATGAAAAGACTTCATCATCTCGCACATCTTCGAATTGAAACATATTTAACAAGTTCCGTCGACTTTTACGAAATACTTGAAGTCTCATCATGGATAATAGCATGAAATGAATTAATATGTTCTATTTAATTATGCTGTATTACGCAAAATTAGATAACAATTACAACGACATAATTAATTTTTTCATCGTTAATTGAGTAACTACACATATTCACATGACGTCAATTGGCATGATTTATGAAACTGTAAAATCTTGAAATCTCTGACAAAAACAAATAAATAAGAAGAGAAAAAATGATCCAACTACAGAAAGGGATCAACATAAATATCATCTTAATTACAATTATATCTTTTTTTTCTTCATGAGACGTAGTGTTAAATAATTGTTAAAGTTCTAATTTATTTTAACCAATTTTTCTAAGATACTTAAGTTTCTTTTATAGTTTTGTATGCAATAAAAATTTTAAAAAAATATTCAAACAAAAAGTAGCCATAATTGGAAGGGATGCCGCAAAATACATTGAAGAAACCTATTTAGTAATCCTAATTTTTTTTCTTTGATTATCATCTATTTTCTGAACACTTCACACAATTACCATTTGTCAGTGTAGTTAAATAATATTGCTAGAGTCATTTGTCAACATATTTTGAATCACATAAAGACAAACCGGTTTCATGCCAACATGATGTACTTAAATCAAGAGTCAGATATCACTCTTTAAAGCTGATTCTCCCAGAATCTTATCGGACGACACTGTCTTGTGTCACAAGATGGGAAAGAAATGGTCGCCCGATTCAATTTTTGGTTTAAATATTCATAGATAGATTGATCAGATTCATGAAGGCACAAAGCTATACCAGAAGCATTTGACTCAACTTTATCAATATATCTGACGTCACGACGGATGGTAAAGACGGGGGAATTATTATGCTCGCCCACTTTGTTAATTGCCCTTATATCTTCTGTTAGGTATGAGTTATCAAAGGATATGTATTTCGTTCCATGGTGTGAGACAAGGAAGGTAAATGTGCCTTCTTCTCTCCGCATTTTATGGTACACTTCGTTAGTTATGTTTTTAATGTATTCTATTAAAACCTTATGATTTTCAGTTGAATAAAGAGTGAAATATTTTTTTTTCCAATATTCGTGGTTCAAAAATGTATGAAGAACCATCACATAATCCAAAACATTTGATTTAAATGTTAAAGAACCAGCTGAATAATATGTGTCTTCGCATATACGTAACAGAATATGGGAGGCGAAGTTGTTGATGTCTTTGAACAATGTTATAAGGATGAGTTTTTCAAAAGCTGTATTTAAACTCATGTAAACCTGAGAAAGTAAATGTGTTCTCTCTTCAAATTCAATAATAAAATAATCTCTAAAAACGCGAGAATCTGTGAGACACCCCTTCAACTTTGATGTAAATTCACTTACAAAACTTTGAGGACTCTCCATGGGCGGATGAAAAAAATGTTCTTTTAACATTGAACTTATAACTTGATCTTTGGTGACACAGAGAACTTCACTTACATTAGTTTCCTTGTCTGAGTTTAAAACTCTCAAACCAAAAGCTTTCCTCACTGAACTCATGTCTTGTAGATCATCACAGAAGAAATTAATCTCTGTCTCCTTGGCTTGACTTGTATCAGAAATAACATGAGCAGCTGTGACCATTATAAAATATGTCTTTGTTGTGTCTTCCAAGTCTGGCTTTATATCATCATTGTTAGCCAGTCTGATAACAAATCCACTTGCCATGTTTTTTGAATCCAATGTTGCATCATTTAAAACATGTATGGCAACTGTAAATTTAAAGATGTTTTTAATTAAATTTAAATTATGATAAAAGCGGCACCCCGATGGCAAATCCTCAATATCCAATAAACTCAATCGAATTCTCTTCTGTTTAAAATGTCTTTTATCTTCAATTGGTGATGTAGGTTTATCTATCAATTCATGTTGATCATAAAAATAAAATGTTGCCGAAGAACTTGAATTCAACTCATTGCCATGATGTCTTGAGTGTGGGACACTAAAAATAGATTCTAAGTTTTCAAATGTATAATTAATAACATGTATATTTCCAGGAATAACACATACAGGTCCACCAGATGACCCTCTACATGTTGCAACACTATAAATTAGTTGGTAATGTCCGTGGCGTGTGTCTGCACTAACAATGTTTCCTAAAGTCACTTTCTTTGATGTCCCGTGTGGATGGGAGATGTGAAAAACAAGATCTTGAAATACTGTCTCATTTTCCTTTAGAGAGCTTTTTTCTACGTTTGTAGGACTTTCTTTAAGAGGTAACTGTTCGGACGTATCGCTCGTGGATAAAATCGGTGAGGACCTTTTTGTTGATATTTCATCGCTTTTTGTTCTTTTAAACTTACGATTATTCAATTTTTCAGATATCACTTTATCCTTAGTATAACAGAGCACTTCACTAAAGTCAGCTTCTGAGTTTGTATTTACAACTCTCAAACCAAAAGCTTTTCTCACTGAACTCCTGTCATGTGGATCATCATAAAAAAATTCAATCTCTGTCTTCTGGGCTTCACTTGTGTCAAATATAACATGTGCGGCTGTGACCAGTATAAAATAGGTTTTTGTGGAGTCTCTGACGTCAGGTGTTAGTTGACCAGGTCCAGCCAGTCCTGTAACCAAACCACTTCCTACGTGTCTCATATTTCCTCTTAAACATTTACATTGTCTGTCTTGGCTTGTGTTTTCTTGTCTATTTCCAATGTGACTTCAAACAATACTTCTCTATTCCCAATGTGATTTCAAACAATACTTCTCTATTCCAAATGTGACTTCAAACACTACTTTACTATTCCAAATGTGACTTCAAACAACTACTTCTCTATTCCAAATGTGACTTCAAACAATACTCCTCTATTCCAAATGCGACTTCAAACAATACTTCTCTATTCCAAATGTGACTTCAAACAATACTTCTCTATTCCCAATGTGACTGCAGTGTTTTAAGTTAACATATTTTTATATTATCTCAAAAACAATATAGACGTAGCATTTCAATCAATTTCTAAATTAATTATCCTTATTGTCTGTTGCCTCAATGCCAATTATAAAGAAAAAAATGTTTGAGGAAACCAGTAGGGAGCTGCACAGACACAAGTGTGGAATAACTTTGTCCACTGTAATTTTCCTAATAGGTATGAGATGTAACATTGAGTAATAATAGTGATATTGTGATGAAGATTATGTTTTAATAATGCTAGAGTTTAAATACTTAAACTATATGTTGTACACGTTTACAGTGAAATAATTCGTTTTATAATTATACCGGCAATTCAGAAACACTCCTTTACAAATAAATAATGCATATTGCATTTGAACAGGTGATTCAGTGCTTGATTAAGACTAGCAGTAGCGCCTTCACAGTTAAAATGTGTGTGGTCTATCTAGGGCCCCTCCCCCTACTTTGAGTAGGTTACCTGACACAATTTTTTTGTTTGATTGTAATTCGGCGCCCCCCGTCCCTCCCGCGAATTAATTAATCACTTTTATGACAGCTGAAACGTACTCTGACACTAACTCAGGGGTAAATAGGTCTGTTGTAGTGATTGCCTACTGGTTGTAGGTCTTGGGATTCCATCAGAAAGTGTCCTTTCATTGTTCCTCGGGGTGTCAATATTTATGCTTCTTTTTATTCCTTCGAATGTTAAGTTAAGTAGGATACAAGATAGGGAGTCTTCTTGTCTTAGCCTCGTTTAATTTAAAACTCCCTTTAATATTCACGCTATAATATTCTTGACTTTGCTTTTTAAGTTGTTCATTGTTACATGTATCAGTCTTGATTGTTTGTTGGGTATGCCGAACTTCTGCGTTCATTTATTTTATATTACCTTATCACTTTAAACTAATTCTCTAGAAATATTTTTTTTTAAATATTGATTTTATCCTTATTTTGCTATCTCAAATAATTTTTAATTTTAACTTACACTTTTTTCCTTAACAAATTGCAAAGATTTTTGGTGCAAAAAGGCAAAGTTATTAAATAGTAAATATACAAAGCAAAATTTTGCTTAGCGTGTGTGTTTAAATAATAGTTAGTTATTTAATTCAAAAAGTGACCATCATATTTAATTTGACGAAAAGAAGGGAAAACGTTATCAGTTTAATGAAATGGTTAAAAGCAACAGGATTTATTGCTGGCCATTGGAGGGTATTTGGGGCTATTTAAAATAACATTTAGATTCAATCACAGGATCATAAGTACGGAAAAGTGACGTAAATTTAAAGTTAACTCAATATAATATTGGTGCAAAAAGCATATTTACTTTTTAAAAAAGATATATTTTTTTTTTACAATCAACTGCTTTTTATTTAACGACTACAATCTTAACAATATATTAGCTTTCCAATATTTATAATAGGAATACACCTCCTTTTATTAAGCACTTGGAGAAAACCCGAATAAAGGCTTTTTAATGTCTAAATTGCATACAAGTATTTTAACTGTTGCATTCAGATAAATAAATCGAATATACATACACTTATATTTTTTAAAAAGAATATTAAGCTTAATCTGTAAAGATTACATATATTTAAATATAAGTATGTTCATTTGATCAAATTTAAGTCGATTTAATTTAGGTACATAAATATAAATTAAAATAATTATTTTTAAGAAATCCCACCAGTGCTGGCGTTCGAATTTTCGCGACTTTTCAACACACGATGCTTGGTGATATTTTCGGGATTTTTATATTGCACGCTATTCAAATTTGTGATACATGGTGACACTATTATTTTTAAGAAATCCCACCAGTGCTGGCGTTCGAATTTTCGCGACTTTTCAACACACGATGCTTGGTGATATTTTCGGGATTTTTATATTGCACGCTATTCAAATTTGTGATACATGGTGACACTAGTTCCTTTATTTTACATTTATATGGACGTCACTCTGAAAAACAAACATCTTTATTTATCGATTTATTTTTTATTGAGAATTTATGTCCAAAAAAATTAATCTCTATTTGTGTTTATGTTTGTTGCTTAATTCAGCAATGTGTCCATGAAGACCACCAAACTTAATGTCAAAACCCTTACACGCTATCAAAAGTCTAAAGACATCAGTTAACTTGGTGTGTGTTTCCAGAGTCTTTAGGTTTTCAGCTTCCTAAAGACAAAGTCAGGAATTTAGGAAGTATAAATAATATTTACTAAAATCCACTTAAGTGTGTTAGAAGAATTACCTTCACCGTGGACATGTTATAGATTTATTGTTAACGTAATGAAAGGGATCACTGTATGATCCAGGCGTTGAAGAGAGCTTTTTCACTGAGACATTAAGGAGGACAACGTTTCTGACCCTAGACTAAAACATACAATTGTGACATGGATTATTTTGTCTCATTTATTATAAACTAGTAAGAAATAAAAAAAAATATTACAGTGGGCATATCTAAAAGGAATGTAGAACTATCCCATATGTATTATCTAAACACCAAATGAAAAAAAAATACATTAAAAAAATGACTTTCAGTAATAAAAAGCCAAGTTTATTTTGATACAATAGGATCAGTGCAATTTGGGAAAATGCCTGGGAAGTCCGTAACCACATGACCATCGTTAATTCAGGACTCATGCATTTAGAATATTTGATCCAATCAACTATTTCAATATTAAGTTGCTTTTTATATTTTATGGCACAAGTTATTTTTAAATATTTTTTAAAAGCTTTATCTGCGTTATACATTTTAGAAAATCTAAGAACATTTAGTGCTGTTTAATGCTTTGAATCTCGTCTTCTAAAGAATTATAAGAATCTTGACAAGGCTGTTGGACTGCGATAAGGTTTTAAAGTAGATCAATTAGAAACAAACAATTTGTGTAAATAAAACAATATACGCTCAGCTTTAATAATCAACAAGCAGAAAACAAATGTTAATGTTTCTGTAAATGTCTTCACAAGTAAAAAAAAGGTTTTAAAGTAGATCAATTAGAAACAAACAATTTGTGTAAATAAAACAATATACGCTCAGCTTTAATAATCAACAAGCAGAAAACAAATGTTAATGTTTCTGTAAATGTCTTCACAAGTAAAAAAAAAACAACAAAAAAAAACATTTTTAAAAACTATTAAGTATAAATAAAATTTAGATCACATATATCACAAGTAGATTAGCTAAAATGACAGAAAAGAATAATAGTGGACGGAAATCCCTGACGAAACTTAAGTTCAAAAGACCGGAAAGGCGGTAAGTGTAAGTAAAATTTAAAAAAAATTAACAGAAAAAGACATGGCAGCAATGTAAAAATGTGGATTTGGTTTCATTAATTTATTTTTTTCCATATAAATTATATGCTTTGTATTTATATACAATATACAAGTATATACTTTATGACATTGCAGTTAAAATCATGTTAGACTCAGATGGTGGCCCTGGGCCTTTGTATTTATATACAATATACAAGTATATAATTTATGACATTGCAGTTAAAATCATGTTAGACTCAGATGGTGGCCCTGGGCAGTGTTGTACGCCACCAATAGTGAATTTAGTGGAGAAAAGTTCAGTGCAGTGTTCAGGCATTGGAACACTTGGAACTTGCACATGGTCTCAAGACATACTTTAGGGGCCTCGCGCTCCAAGGGCATTATACTGCTATTATTATTAGTGAATATTAAAAAATTTATGGCAATTTATTTTGCTTTCAAAAAGAAAGAACTAAAATGAGTTTCCCCATTTTATTTAAACAGGTTTTTTAAATCAAAAATCAATTCAATTTTTGATACTTGGTTTAGAAAAAGCTTCTTTTGATAAATTATAAATTTGAAAAAAATATCAAAAATTATTTACTTGTCGCCAAAGTTTATTTCTTTAGTAATTTAAATTAAGAAAGTTAGAGTGGTTATAAATCTTAATTAAACCTTTTAAGTCACTGCATTTGTTGAGAAATTCATTCTGCCTCATTTTCCCTCAGATAAATCACACAAAAAATGACATTATTTTAATAAATATTACGACGCGTTTGTTATCTCCCTTCTTCTTTCTTTATACCATTTACTTACAATAATTTTTTTATATGGCCTGTTTAAAATGGACATACAAAATGTTTCTTTACACCATTTACTTACAATTATTTTTTATATGGCCTGTTTAAAATGAACATACAAAATGTCTCTTTATACCATTTACTTACAATTATTTTTTAAATGGCCTGTTTAAAATGAACATACAAAATGTTTCTTTACACCATGTACTGACAATTATTTTTTTATATGGCCTTTTTAAAATGAA